GCCCAAGCCACCCTAGCAGGGACTGAAGTGAAGGAGAACGTGAAGGTACCACGACAATACGCAGATCTCCGCGACGTCTTCAGCGAAAGGGAAGCTGACCAACTACCACCGCATAGAGCCTTTGACTGTCAAATCAATTTGCTCCCTGGGGCACAGCTCCCTGTGGGCAAGCTGTACGCCATGTCAGACAGAGAGATGCAGGAGCTAAGAGAGTTCATTGACAAGAACCTGAAGAGAGGGTTCATCAGAGAGTCCAGGGCGGTGGGGGCAGCCCAGTGTTTTTGTGGACAAAAAAACACGAACAAGCCGAGACTGGTGTGTGACTTCAGGGCCTTAAATGCAGTGTCAGAACCAGTGGCCTTCCCGATGCCCAGGATTGACGACATTTTGACAAGGGTGCGAAAGGGAAAGATTTTCACCAAGCTGGATCTAAGGGGGCGTACAACCTGATACGAATAAGGAAGGGGGATGAATGGAAAACCACCATGTTCACCCCTTTAGGGGCATTTGAATACTTAGTTATGCCCTTCGGTCTACAAGCAGGCTCCGCAACATTTCAATCGTTTATGAACCACGTCCTGGGGCCGTTGCTTTACAAGAATTGTGTGGCCTTCTTAGACGACGTGTTGGTGTATTCTGAGAATGAGGAGCAGCATGTGAGAGACGTCAGAGAAGTGTTGAGCAGGCTGCAAGCCAACCAGCTGTGGGTGAAACTGGAGAAGTGTCAGTTTCATACCAAGGAGGTGGAATTCCTGGGGTATCGCCTGTCTGACAAGGGGTTGGCCATGGATCCCGGCAAGGTCCAGGCGGTACTGGAATGGAAAACACCCAAAACAAGGAAGGATGTGCAGAGGTTTTTAGGGTTTGGGAACTTCTATCGTAAGTTCATCCCAAACTTTGCCCACCTGACGGCGCCCATTACGGACTGTCTCAGCAGTAAGAAGAAGTTCGTTTGGACGGAGGAGGCGGAGCAAGCATTTGAGGAACTAAAAGGGCCTTCGCCTCGGAACAACAGCTCCTGCATGTGGATTTACAAAAACCGATGAGAGTGGAAACTGATGCATCAGACAGAGCGGTTGGGGCGGTGCTTCTCCAGCCAGGGAAGGAGGAGTCAGAGTGGAGACCGTGTGCTTTTTTCGCGAAAGCTGAACAAATCCGAGAGGAACTACACGGTGTATGACCGAGAACTACTAGCCATTCATGAGGCGTTCCGGAGATGGAGGCACCTGCTAATTGGCGCACAACATAAGGTGCAAGTGTGCACTGACCACAAGAACCTAGAGTATTGGAGGACGGCACGAGTGCTCAACCAACGGCAAGTGAGATGGGCTCAGGAATTCTCCAAATTTAACTTTGAGATTTGTTACGTGCCAGGCCCAGAGAATATTAGGGCGGACGCTCTCTCACGCAAACCTGAATATTTGGAGGGTGAGGGAGCACCCGAAGAGAGACATGTCATTCCAGAGGACCGCTGGGTGTGTGGGGCGGCATTGGTGGGACAAAGAGAACTGGTAGAAGAAACAGAGAATGATGAATACGCCCAGAATAAGCTTAGAGGTCTTAGGGATGAGGGAGAGGAATCAAGGGGTTTCGAGGAAAGAAATGGAGCTTTGTATTACAAAGGGGCACTGTATATCCCTGAAGGAGACTTAAGGGGAGGGTACTCAAGCAGTTGCATGACAGCCCCACGGCGGGGCATTTTGGGCAACACAAAACCATGTGGTTGGTCACCAGGGAATTTTGGTGGCCTAAGGTGAGGGAGGATGTACGTGAGTATGTAAGAGGGTGCGAGCAGTGCCAGCGAGCCAAAGGGGAAAGGCGGGCGCCGGCGGGGCTATTAGAACCCTTACCAACACCAGAACGACCTTGGGAGGCAGTGTCGATAGATTTTATGACTGATCTGCCGAAGTCCAAAGGGAAAACAGCCATCATGGTGGTGGTAGACCTACTAACAAAGATGTGCCACTTTGTAGCTTGCTCGCATGCAGTCACGGCGGAAGAGACAGCAAAGTTATTTGTAGAACACATTTTTAGGTTGCACGGGGTGCCATTGAGGGTGGTCTCAGACCGAGGAAAACAATTTACTTCCAGGTTCTGGAGGAAGCTCATGAGCTTACTGCAGGTGGAGGTCAACTTTTCGACTGCCCGGCACCCTGAAACCAACGGGCAGGCGGAAAGAGCAAACGGTGTCCTCCAGCAATACCTGAGGTGTTATGTCAATGACAGAGAGAATGACTGGGTAGAAAAGTTGGCGCTGGCGGAATTTGCCTACAACAATGCCGAGAATGTGTCCACAGGGATGAGCCCCTTCTTGGCTAATTATGGGTGTCATCCCAGGGCTTTCCCAGGGGGAGAAGGGGAGAGATGGAGCGTACCGGCAGCCGAGCATTTTGTAGAAGAAATGGAAGCAATCCACCGTCAGCTCCAACTCAACTTAGAAAGGGCGAAGGAAGAATACAAGAGGCAGGCAGACAAGAACCGAAGGGAAGGTGAAACCATAAGGGTTGGAGAGAGGGTGTGGCTGTCAACCCGAGGGTTGCCGTTCAAAGGAGGTTGTAAGAAATTAAGACCCAGGAGGTTGGGTCCCTTTGAGGTCATTCAACAGGTCAACCCAGTGGCTTTCAGGCTCCGGTTACCCAACCACATGAAACTGCACCCAGTATTTCACAGGTCGTTACTGTCACCGTACGAGGGGGGACGAGAAGGGATGGCCACTGGGGGACCGGTCATAGAAGAAAGAGAATGCAGCAGTCATGTGGCAGAAATCCTTGATGCCAGGTGGAAGGGGAATCAGGTGGAGTATTTGGTAGCGTGGGAAGGAGAACCGGAGTCAGAAAACACGTGGGTAATGGCCAAAGATATCAATGACGAGGTATTGATAGAAATGTTCCATCAAAGGTTCCCGCGGAAACCTCAGCCTGTGGAGAGGTTCCGGAGGGAATACTTTGGGACCACTGAGGAGGAGGAGGAGTTGGAAGGATTCCCAGAATCGGAAGGGGAAGGGGAGATGGACTCGGAGGAGGAGGAGTGCTTCGAGACCAGGAACCGCAACAGGTGGAGAGAAGTGTTCGAGACATCGGAAGATGAAGGAAGTTCATTCCGGGTTTTGCCTCCTCACCGCCCGTAGAGGAGGGGGCGAGAGGGGGTGAAGGGGGCCCTGGAGGGGAGGTGGATGTCAGGGAACTGCCATCGGTAGGAAGGGAGGTGAAAGGACTCAGACAGGTTGGAAGAGACTTAGCAGCTGAAGAGGAAACCAGCAGGGGGAGAGAAGCTGAACTGAGGGAGGTGAAAGGGCTCAGACAGGTTGGAAGAGACTTAGCAGCTGAAGAGGAAACCAGCAGGGTGTGTTCTTCTGAACTGAGGGAAAGGGAGCTGGGGGGATGGCTCAGAGATACTTCCAGCGAAAACAGTGGTGAGGTTTCCGGACCTCCTGTAGCGACACCCACTCCTCGCCGGAAACTGTCACGCAGAGAGTCCAGAAGACGTGTTTCCGTTAAGGAGCTTTTATGTTGGAAGCGATTACGAAAGCAACCACTGTCGGAATCTTCTAGTGACTAAGAGGAGCCATGTCAGAGGGGCTCAGTCACAGACAGAGGTTTGTGGACTTGAACAAACTCTGAGGGAATACGATTTTACGCACAAGCAGCTCATAATCCCATCACAC